TCTCGATGTGTTTTCAAAGGATATCCTTTTGCACAACGTGGGTACCGCGTTCTTGATTTTGAAACCCGCAAAATATTCACATCAAGTGATGTATCTTTTGTAGAGGACAGATTCCCTTTTCGTGAATTATCACTACAAGAGCCTGAAGCAACCACAGTATTACCTCAACCCATTGCAGACATGGGTACTTGTTCCTAATCCTACTCCTATCACATCCCCTCTTAGAACCGCACCAGAACCACAACAAGAACAGTCAATGAATGAACTTAGATGATCCACACATGTTTGTAACATGCCGACACGGTATAAGGATTTTGTTTGCTCTTTGGTCCATCCAGAAGTCATGAGAACTTCACCCATGGCATAAGGCTCTTCGACAGGTACGCGTTACCCTCTTTACAACTTTGTTTCAAATGCCAAATTATCGCCAACACAATTTGCCTTGCTTCAAGCTATATCTTCTCAGGAAAAACCTGAGTCCTTGACCTATGCGGTTAAGTTTCTCCGTTGGAAGGTAGCAATGGAAGTTGAAAGTGATGCATTACAACAAAACAATACTTTGAGCCTCTTGGCAAGAAACCCATTAGATGCAAGTGGGTATATGCAATCAAATACAAGGCCAATGGAATTATTGAACGGTACAAAGCTCGCTTTGTAGCCAAAAGATATATACATGTCGAAGGGCTTGACTATCATAAGACATTTGCGGCAGTTGCAAAGCTGGTTATTGTGCAGTGTGTACTTAGTCTCGCATCCATAAGAGGATGGCCCCTCTATCAGCTCGATGCGCACAATGCTTTCTTGCATGGTGATTTGTATGAGGAGGTTTACATGCAACTTCCACTATAGTTTGCTCAACAGGGGGAGACTCGAGTTTGTCGACTTAACAAATCATTATATGGGCTCAAGCAAGCCTCTCGGCAAAGGTTTGATAATTTTTCTTCCACTTTGCAATCCCTTGGTTTTATTTAGTCTGTTGCATATTATTCACTATTCACCTTAACTGTTGGAAAGACTTTCATTGTTCTCCTGGTTTATGTTGATGATAATATCGTCATTGGCAATAACAACAGATTCATTTTGCTGTTAAAACGATTTCTTCACAAATTCCATATCAAGGATTTGGGAGTCTTGAAATTTTTTATGGGCAAAGAAGTTGTCCATTTCTAAAGAGGAATCTTTATTAATCAAATAAAATATGTTCTTGATATTTTGGTCGAAGTTGGACTCACAGGTGCAAAACCAGTTGCTTTTCCCATGGACCAATACATTTGTCTTACTGCCACATATGGCGATCTCCTTCATGATCCTAGTCCGTATCGATGTCTAGTGGGGCGGTTAATTTATCTCACTATCATAAGACTTGATATATTATATTCAGTCCATATCCCTACCCAATTTATGCATAGTTCTCGGCAACCTCATTACATGGCCGCTCTTCATGTACTTCAATATCTCATAGGCACGCTTTCATTTGGACTCCTTTTACCATCCAATTCCTTGCTCCAGTTAATAGCTCATTGTGATTCCGATTGGGCCACCTGCCCTGTGACCCAGAGATCGATTACCGATTATTTTAATTCCCTTGATGCTTGTCCACTATCATGGAAGATTAAGAAACAACCAATAATATCACGATCTTTGACTGAAGCTGAGTATCGTGCTATGGCTGTAGCTACATGTGAACTCGTGTGGCTCAACGCCTTACTTCAAGACCTCGGTGTGCCTCATCCTCATCCTCATCCAATGTGCCTATACTGCGACAACCATGTTGCTGTCCACATCACTGCTAACCTCGTGTTTCACGAACGAACTAAGCATATAGAACTCGATTGTCATCGTATCCAAGAAAAAATCTATCCAGGCATTCTCAAAACCTCTCACGTCTCTACTAAGCATCAAGTCACAGACATTATCACCAAAGCATTAAGTCATGAGCAATTTCAATTTCTTCGCAACAAGTTGGGCGTTACGGATCTTCATGCGCCAATTTGAGGGGGAGTATTGGGTGATTGAGATTGTGATATCGTAACTGTGGATTGGGATTAGCATCACATGTTGTAATTTTTATATAGTTGTATGTTGTGATTGACATTACAAGTTGTATTTCTTATAGATTTGGATAGTTTGTTGTAAATTCCAAAATTACGATTCCTACAATCTTGGAGTTGGCTGTGACCAAGTTGTATATATCATGTTGTAATACTCAATTGAATGCAATATATGATTTACCAATTCGTAACAACTTCCATATAATCAAGTGTATGGCTAACAAAAATTTGTCCTAAGGCAAAAACCCAAATTAAGACCGACATAGTTATCAATTACACAATCTCCCAAAATAAACAAGGGAAATTTATCAAATCCCCATAAGAGATTAATAATTTATCACTTTATCCATATCTTTTGATTTAATTTCAAAATAACCATAAAATAGCATTGTGAGTTGGAATAGTTCATATCTTATGGGTATTTTTAATGGAAAAAGTTTATATAGAGTCGAGGCTCTAAACAATCAAATTCGAGCCCACCTCAAAAGTTTCACTAGAAGAGATTGTTTCAATTCCCAAATATCTTCAAATTGACTATCTCGACATCAAGATGCATGAGCATGAGGAAAAAATACATTTCAAGTCTTGATAATAGTGCATCTTATAACACATTTTTAGACCATCAATTTTCAAGATTTTCAAGTTTTCATAGATCTACTCGATTTACACTATTTTTTAAGCTTTAATTTTATAATTAAAGATGAAAATATATTTTAAGGCTGTCACAAAGATTTTTCAGTATTGAAACCACATTTCTCGACACTATTTGAAGGTGTGATTTACTGTGATTGTTTAGAGCCTCGGCTCTATACAAACCTCACCCATGTTTTATCAATTTCCCAATAAACATACATAGTCAATGCCCCCATAAACTATTTGCTGAATTTGGGTTTATTAAAGCCTTCTCTCTCTGGTATGGGGGGTGTTCTTAAGGTGTTTTTATCTCCTTTTTTAGTGGGATATATAATCATATCCCTCTTATATTTAAAGTAGTGGTCATCCCTATATTTTAATGTGGTAGTTAGGCTCTAGATGGGAATGCGATGGCTATCTTTAGATGGTAATACTTTTCTTTTAAAGAGTTTGGTTTTCCCTTTATTTGTTTGTTGTGGGATTTGAGTGGGGCATGATGTCCCCATGGATGCCCATACTATTGAATAACTTGATATTCATGACAAACAATGACAAAATATTGTGGGGTCTTTGCTGGTGGCAAACTTGGGATTTATATGATATGTGAGGAATGCTCCGCACACATAAGTGGTTATACTCTGCAAACTTGGGTCGACCAGAATTGGGTCCGGGCCAGGGTCTGGCATGGACCCCTATCGGGTCGGGATAGGTTTGATCTGACATGGTATAAAATATATAGATATATAATAAATAGTATATAAAATAATTTTTTTATTTTATTAATTTCTAGACCTAGGTCTAGGTTCAAATGACTTGGGACAACCCGGGTCTAAGCCAACCGGGTTGAGGTCAACCCGGACCTGACTCGATCCATTGCCACCCTTACTAAAGCGGAAGTAGAGGAAACTTTAGAGTTTAGAAGGTTTCAACAACACGGTTCTGGAAGCCGGTTCAAGACGACCATATTTTCAGCAATGCGAGTCTGTGCCTTTGTTTTGTTTTTTTTGTTTTATTTTTTCTTTTTGTTTTTTCTTTCTTTTCTTTTTTTTTTTCTTAAATCTTGTCAACAACTAGTTTGAAGTGATGAAGACATGGAAGATTCTTTTTTCTTTTTTCTTTTCTGTAAATCTTGTCAACAAAATGATATGACTGGTTTGAAACAATGAAATAATGGAAGATTGTGCTCCTTTTTGGACTTTTAATGTCTTTTTTGGGATAATGATTGTTGAGTTTGTTCATCCTATCATTACATGATGAAGAAATGTCATCATTTTTCCATATCCTTGTTTACTCGTTGACTATTTATGTAAAAGCTTTCCATATCCTTTCCTTTTTTTACCCATTTTTCCATTTCAATTTATGTTGCAACTTCTCGGCATCGTCAATTCATGAAGAAACTGATAATCCTTTGGAGAGTTTGTGGTTGCTTTGAAATGATTGGGTCCATTTATACACGAGTGTTGGATATTGTTACAAGACAGTATTTTGCCCTAGTTAGTTTGCATGAGTTGAATGATTAGTGGTCATGTTGCTTATCTTGCTGTAATTGTATAAAAGTGTGTTGCTGCATTAGTGGTAATTGTATCAAAGTGCATCTTGGTTATCTTGTTCTAATAGCTGCATTGCGGGTAATGTTGAGAAAGAATAAGAGGTATTGCTTACTGGTTTTGATGATTTGTTAATACATGATTCTTTATTTAAAGCAGACCTGTCGGAAGTGTAATGGTGTGGTGGCTTTCTTTCCTAGATCTTCTTCTCGTGACATCAACAAGATATAGGCGACACGAACCTCGGTGAAAACATGCCAACAAGTGATGTGGCCGGTGCTTCAACACCATTTGAATCTCCCCAAATTGAGGCTGAATCATCGCCATTGCGCAACACTGGCAGATCATCATCCAGTTGTTCTAAGAGGCCCCAACCCAATACTCCCATGCCTCGAACTTAAAAAAAAGGAAGCAAGGCGGTGTTAGTGAACCAGTAGCAGCAGCTATGATTGTGATGGTGGACAGCATGAGGGAAATGATGACTCTCCAAGCCCTGAATCCCAAAATTAGATTGAGTGCATGGGTGCCATTGAAGAGCTTTTTTAGAATGAAGAAGGGACTTGGATGCCATCATGAAGGCTTCAGGGCTCTATCAGGATAGCTTGAAGGCTCATATGGTCTTAGCTTTGAGGCAGCAATCGCCTAAAGTGCTGATCAGAAACTAACAAATACAAAGGCATAGAAAGAGGATATAAAAGAGACGAACATATTTCTGAAAACCCTATAAAATGCATTTGAAAAGCTCATGTCCATTATCATGCAACAAAACTATCAAGAATACCAATATGCCACGACTACCAAAAAAATCTCATAAAGGTGTTACAAATTCTACAGATCAGCCACCATGGATTAGTAAGAGTCCATAGTTCAAATGTCCATATCAACATAAAAGACCAAGTCCACAATAACTTGATCTGCCTCACTGAGCAAACTCCATGTCAATCCAGACGACCCTTTGCTCCTCATTCATTGTCAAGAATAGCTCACTGGCATTGACATCAGCAGTGATTACCTTTAATGCTCGTATTACGACTCTTTGATCGAGGCCTTCAATCTTTGAAATGGTATCATAGACTCTCTGGATATTTGGATTTTTAGCTTCGTTCCTTTTATCAATTGCAGCCCCAATTGTTGCCATGGCATTTGCCATTGACTGGATTGCCTTGGCTATGGTTTTCTTTTTCTTCTTTGGCCTCTTAGATGATAATGGTGTACATGTGGGTCTATAAGCCCCCCTTCCTATGCTCCTTGACTGCCGAGGTGTCTCTAGTACTTCCTCATCGTCTCCCACCTCCTCATCATCACCATCAGCATCTACATCCACTGCTGTGTCACCATGTCCCTCATTTCTATCTGGAAGGTCCAGCTCTAACAGTTTTGGTGTCCTAGCACCGGCTCCTTCAGCCATATCATTGCCAATGATAATGCTCAGTTCCCTCCAATAAGGGAAGGTTTTTCCTTTAAATTGCCTTGCATCTCGATGGCTCTGCATAATTATTGTAATATGCATTAATTCAAGTAATTATTGCATGACATATCAAATGATGACATAAAATAACAAGGAGGACACACACCGCACAATACTCATCCCAAAGAGCTTCATCGGCTACAACCATTTGAATTTTGTCATCCCAACTGAAGCCAATTTGATTCCTCAATTCCTGTATTGTCTTGTAATTATTTTTCCATGTTTTTAGTTTATTCTTGAAACTATCTCTTCTCAAGTTCATTCCAAGTCGGGCACGAAATTTGGTCTCTATAGGAGTCCACTGCTCGTTTTTGAAACCACTTCCTGGCTTCCCACATAGGAGGACTTGCTCAACAAGTAACTCCAATAAAACCATCTCCATCACACATGTCCATTGTAGCTTCTTTGCCTTGGATGCTGATTGACTTGCAACAACTTCATTATCCATACCTAGGACAAATTTTGGGCCATAAACACCAATAAGCCCAAGCAACATACTATGAATCTGAGACTAATCAAAGATAGATTGCCAGACTGTAATAATAGTTGCCACTATGCATAAGCAAAAAAAAAAGAAGAAAATGAAACAGAGCATAATCTAGAGGCCTGTCAAGTAAGGTATCCTTCATATTAATACCGAAGTAAAATCACAGAGATAGAGAAGCTTTTCATTACCCATACCCTTTCTATGCTTACTTGCATGCAAACCTACTGACCAGCAGGACCTTCTTCTACACCAATAGCAATATCAGGCTTAAATCTGATCTAGTCTTTCTAAACTCAAGTCAGGTCAAGCCCACCCAAAGAAAACCATGCATTTGAGATCTCCAAATAATTCATCCATTACTCCTCCTTCCATGTAATCCAGACAAAAAAGGCACTGAGAAGAAAAATGCCATGACCGTCATATCTGGATCCATGATGGCTACGACCATAGTGTAGAAGAAGTACATTTTAAATTCACCAACAGTAGAGAGAAATTGAAAATCAAAAGCATTTTAACAATATAGAACTTATGATCTTCAACAATAGTACATTGATATCAATGCAATCAGAATTAACAGACAACATTAGAGGTTCTAGATAGAAAGTTCAATCACAGAATGATTTTTTTTTTTTTGAGAATATTCAATCACAGAATACTTGTGGCATGTGAAGTGTGTAGTGCATAAACATTTTCTTCAGATTCGCAACAATACAACACCAATTAATTTTGAATGAACTACAAAATATGCAGCTCACAGGTGAGAATGTATATGCATGGCATGAGGATCACCTGAGTGAGAAAAACCATGACAATGTAGGGCACAATTCCAAACAAGTTGAAAGGATTCCTCAAAGCTATTATTCTAGCAACTGGCTAAGAAATTTCTGACTCCTATAAAGTGATCAGCTTGTCATAACTCTAAAAGCAAATGAACTCTAGATTTCAGAAGGATCACGCCATAAGAGAATGGCTCTTTCAGAAAAGAAAAAGGGTAATAAGATAATGATCAGAAAGGCATTGGTATAAATTATTTGAGGAAAAGAAAACCATAGCTATCTTGATAAAAAGCCTTTTAAAGTGAATAACTGTTTAAAAAAGATAAAATAAAAGAACGATGATAATGATCAAATAAGAGAAAACTAAAATAGAGGAGAACAAATAGACCCCAAACTGCAATACAAGTAGCAGAAGATGAACAGAATACGTCACCCCTGCAAACAGAAATACGCCAAACAAAATATCTACAGAACTTAACATTGCAGTAAATCAATTAAATTGGCGATAACAATTACAGCAACAGCACAGGTTCATATGAGGAAAACAAAGTCATAATACAAACACAAAGTTAAAACCGCATAAAGAATATCAGTAAAAAAGGCAACCAAAAATAATCACACAAGGAGCAAAGAAAGCCACAATACAAAAAATAGTAACAACCCATGTGTAGGCAAATGGCACCAAAATGCACCTACTTACAGCACAGCATCTGCAATACTAGACATAATAAAATATCACTTATTTATTCTAGACCACTAAGCTATCTATAAATATGTACAAAAGCCCAAATACAGCATGTCATACTATTCAAGTAAGCGTAGTGCCAAACAAATTCACCTAGTAAGCGTAGTGCCAAACAAATTCACCTACATAAAAGGCTAATACTCAATATAAATCCCAAAAAAACTAATTATTGAGACATGTAGAACGAGGGTAGAGCGATCAAAGCCATTACCAACTCAAAGAACCTCCAAAATAAATAAAAAATGGGAAATTTTTGAAACCCAAATCAACATCCCAACATCAGGATATCCAAAGAACAGATCAAGAGCTAAAAATTTTACCTCCACAAAAGGAAAAAAATGTAGAATTTTCAGTGACCCAAATCAAGAACTATACTGTGAACCGTAAAACAGATCAAGAATCATAACATTCACCTCAATAAAATTAAAAATTAAAAAAAGCGTGAAAGTATGAGCAACCCAATATCAAGATGCAAAAAACAAATAAAAACTTTGCGACTGTTGACAAGGTTACACATGTGAAACAGATTAAGCCCTGAAAGAATGTGAGAGAGACACAGGGAGAAAGCTTGAGAGGGTGTAAAGAGAAAAAGGAGGGCTTGAGTGAGTGAACAGAGAGGGCATGGGGAGGGGTTGGGTTATTCACTGCCTTGGAGAATTTTGGTGTTCTGGCGAACCCCAAATTTCAGTAAGGGGAATTCAACCTCTCTACAAATTCTCCATCCCCATAATTTCATTAACTATGTTACTGTAGCTAAACCTCGGTTACGAGACAAGGTTTAGGATAGCCCAGTCTAAGATTGCGTAATCCTGGATTTAGAAACCTAAAAGAGAAAAAGAAATTGCCCAACTTAAGGAGGAAACCAAGACCATAGGGTTGAGTTAATTATGTGACTGTAAATTCACCTTTAGTTGATCTTCCACTTTGTATTGCAAACTTGTTGACCCCAGAAGCCCCTTTCATGCTCTTGTAGATGCACACCACGTTATCTATATAAGCAACAGGACGGCTTTCTGCAATATTAAAATAAAATTCCATTTATAAGAAAGAGGAGATTGATAGATTGATAGAGAGAGAGGGAGAGTTCCTTGATTTCCCAAATCAATTCTGTAATGTCTATTCAAACAACAAAAATTGAGATGGATCTTCTTTCCATCAAATAAAAAAAAAGATAATTTCTTGTCAAACAACCTACTCTGAAAAAATTGTGAGTATATGAAGCACTTTGGTGGACGACAAATAATCCAAGACTTCAACCTCAATCAAGGAATGGATTGATGGTTCATAGACATGCAATAAAATTCTCTTAGACTTGTAACACATTAAGTTGATGATTGAATTAAGTTGACTAATCATTATTAATCCCATGTAAATTAGGGTGATAATAATGGTCCAGGTTCTAGTTTATTAAAGTGGGATACAACATCTAGAAATAGAACAATCAATAACTTGCAATGGTTCTTGATAGATAGAAAGAATAAATTATTTTTTTTAACATACCATAACAAAGTAACTTTATTTCTATGTATCAAAGAAATTGAGCCTATATGTAGATACCGCTCCGACGATAAGGCACCTTACAAACAGGACAATTTGTTCCAGTCTTAAAGAATTGTATATACACAAACTGTACAAAAATCTACCAACTTCAAAAACAAAACCAGAACAAATTCATAACAGACCCGAGTATATAAAAAAAAAATGAAAAAAAGTGCGAAGGAAACCAAAAAATTCTCAGGAAAATAAAAATCAGAGCAACATATTTATCATATAACCCATATATCAAAAGGGAATAATAAAAACCATAATGCATCCTACAATAACCAGAACAAAAAACCCAAATACCCGATAAATGAAATTAAGAGACCAGAAAGAAGTGAAAATAAAACAAAAAATTCAACTAATAATCCCAGAACAAAAAATCAAATAACCCAATATAACAAATAAGAGAACAGAAAAGAGTGAGAATATCACAAAAAAATTAAACCACTGATCAAGAAAACCAAAACCCATTACATCACAAGATATGGGAGGGAGGGAGGGAGCGAGGGAGGGAGGGAGGGAGGAAGGCAGAAAGAAATAAACATATTCATAACCCACAAGAGAGAGAGAGGTTTCTTACATGTGAGAGAAACAGCAGAGTTGAGAAGACTCAAGCCGCAGTAACAGTTGCAGAAGTCCACTTTCAAAACCTTATATATGAAACAAATTCATCGAGAATAAATCAAATGAATGAGATTTAATAGCTAAAAATCAAAGAAAATAGGTCAAAATACAAGATTTACCAGGAGGGGCATTTTAGCTCTCTTACCATCTTATCCAAGTATTCCGAATCCGCCATTATTTTTGTTTCTCTTTCAAACAGAGGAAGATAGGGATAAAAAAAACGGTTAGAGAAAAGTTTCCGAGATTCTCAGGATCAATTTTAGAGAGACAGGATCTGAAGTGTGGGTGCTAAAAATATTTTTGCTCTGAAAGTGCAGGCCTAAAAATATTTTTACATAAATTTATGCAAGGGTGCGGTTTGTATAGAGCCTAGGCCGTAAATAATCAAATTAGAGCCTATCTTCAAATAGTATTGGTTTCAATACTTAAAATCTTTATGATAGCCTTCAAATATATTTTTATTTTTATTTATAAAGTTTAAATCTTAAAAAATAGCATAGATCGACAAATCTATGAAAACTTGAAAATCTTGAAACTTGACAATTAAAAAATGTGATACAAAATACACTATTTCCAAAACTTAAAATCCATTTTTTTCTCATGTCCATGTATTTTGATATCGAGATGATCAATTTGATCATATTTGGGCATCAAAACAATTTCTTCTAGTGAAATTTTTGAGGTAAGCTCGAATTTGATTGTTTAGAACCTCGGCTCTATATAAACATGTGAGGCATAAGGTTTATGAAAACAAAAGAAAACCTCACCTAAAATCCTTGTTTAGAAATTTCTATCATGGTTATAAATCAATTTATCAAAAAATAGTCTTATTGATTTAGGAACGCTTACTTTTAAAGTAAAATTGACGGTCTAGAAAATTTGTTACAATATATACTATTTTAGATATTGAAATCCTAATTTTTGTTCACAACCATAATGTTCAAGTCGAGATGATCGATGTAAAGGTTTTTTAATGCTTTACTTATAATTTTCAATGAGTTATGAAGTGAGGATATACTTATTTTAATAGGGTTGCAACCCTATCAAATCAATTTTCTTATGGGTAAAAGATCTGGACATTTTTGGAATTAAAAAAAAAAAGGCCCAAGTATTTCATTTGCTTTTTTTTTTAAAAAAAAAAAAAAAAACAAAAAAAAAAACCCAAGTATTTCATATGTCAAGTTTAAGTTCCTTTTATAGGTATAATTATGTTTTTTAGAAATCAAACCTAAGATATAAGGTTGTAAAAATTAATTGAACTACTTAAGTCCAAGCCCGAATCCCTTTAGTATTTTTCAATTCTTTTTTTTCATATTACCTTCAATTCAGTAACTTTGAGTT